TAGTGCTAAACCATTTCTAAGGGCATGAGCAGATGGAGATCAGTTTATTAAAGAACAAAGCAGACGTGTTTCAGGTGTGGAAATGTCTCATCATTCTCTCATGCTGGGAAGAGGTACTTGACCTTACTTTGTATTTTCATATGAATTGCCTTGTTCCATGTTCTAGTTTTTGTTTTGTTTTGTTGTTGTTGTTGTTGTTGTTTTCATTTCACTTTTACAGTTTCTAGCTGGCTGTTGTCGGTGTAGATATGGAATTGAATCCACTCTATAAGTGGACTTGGAGTTGACTTTTCCCAAGCAGTGTTTCTGTATTCATCTGCAGTGAAGAATTTTAGACTCTCCTACTACCCACTCTTTCACTGTTGTCCGTGATAGAAATCCCCAGTAGCATTGATGAAATAGGTTCACATGTTCCACACTGGTCTGAAATTTGTGAGCTATGACTTAAAACACAGTTTCTAATTAATGTGTATAGGAAATACTTATGTAGGTGGCTTGCACTAAAGTTGTTAAATGTTATAAAGAATAAAATATCTTAGTTGTAAGTATTGTACCACTGATAGAACTTAAGAGTTTTGTGACAGTTTGTATTATTTAAATTTTTAAGGGGCCTCAGTATATATTTATTCTACCTATTAAGACATTTAATTGAAAGGACTGGTCACTATTCACTGAAATAACCTATCACTGTAGTTGCTAAATTAGTGTTTGAATTGCTAGTAAGGTTTTACTTAAGCAGTGTTAATATTCAAGACTAATGGAAGTCAGCCTTCCCCACCCTCCTCTGTTCTCTTGTTGCTCTTGTTTCTAAGAGCATTGTATAGACTGGGAGGGAATACTGAGTACGGTGTCCCATGAAGGTAACAAAATATCTACAGTCATCAACACCAGTGTGACCTAGAGCAGTACATCCCTTTTAAAGTCTAAGCCACAGATTTTGTTTCTTTCAAAAAAAGGCCAGTTTATTGTATGGTCATAGATTGTTTGCTTAGGTGCACTCACTTAGTTCATCTAGTTTTTGTTTTTGTTTTTGTTTTTTTTTTAATGTAGTTACTTAGTGTAAGCCCCAAATGAACTTAGTAATTGGAAATTAAGAAAGTTAAATCTTTAGAGCAGTGTTTCTTACCCTTCCTAATGCTGTGTCCTTTTAATGCAGTGCCTCATGTTGTGATGACCCCAATCATAAAATTGTTTTGGTTGGTACTTCATAATTGTAATTTTCTGCTGTTATGAATCATAATGTAAATATCTGTGTTTGCCAGTGGTCTTAGGTTACCCCTGTGAGAGGGTCATTGACTCCCAAAGGGGTCGTGACCAACAGGTTAAGAACCACTGCTTTCGAGCTTTGCCTAGCTTGCCTTTAGGCACAAGAGAAAAGTAAATCAGTTACATATTTTTGCTTGTTCCCACATTGTCAGTAGTCACTCAACACCCAGTTTAATGCTTGTGTGTATCATAGCACTTATGAAGATCAATCATTTTCTCTGCTTTGTCTAGGGTGCTATATTTAATCATATATGCTAAGTAAGTATTTTAATACAGATAGAGCTGTGTTTAGTCTCTATGTTTTGCTAAATCAATGTGTAAAAGACCACTTCTCTGTCATTTGTTTCTGTATCAAATATGAATGTAATATGTAGGAAGTTGTATTTAATAGGTAATTAATTAGTCAGGTTTTGTTTTACATTATAAATAGGTTTGTTTCATTTCATTAAGCTGTAAATTATAGGATACTCTATATTCTAATGTGCATAATATTTATTAGATACTTTAAACATCAGGTTTACACTTTAAAGACATATTCTTCATATGCTAGTTCTATATTCTCTTTTCGTGTTTAAGGTATTGCCTTCTTTTTTATTATAATGTGCTATTCGTATAATGTTTTTATTACATACATAATTGTTTTCTTTAATAAAGTATGTTGTGTTATATCACAATACTTTTGTGGGTCATTGACTTCCTTTGAAAACTTATTTGTTATACACTTTATTTTTGACATATGTGTTAAATTGTATTGCAGCAACTAAAATGCTTTCAAGTACTTGTTAGAACTAGACACTAAGTAAAATTGATCAGTAACTGTTTTTACCCTTATTATAAATGTTTTCAGGGTAGAGCCACTATAGACTTAATTTTTGAGTTTTAAAAACATTTAAATTTTTTTATGTAGCCAAAATTTGCTAGTTGTTAAATTTTAATAGATATTTCACAGTGGTGTGTTTGCATGTGGAATATGCTCTATTATTTTAATGTCCTATGTTTTGTGTTTTGAGGGTTTTAATAATATCTCTGAAATTTGTCAATGGCCTTTTAGTTATCACAAATTCTTGCAAATTCTGCTAGATTTAACCTCTGCCATTTAGGTTAAAATTGTTACCAGTACCTAAAATTATAATTTTGTTTAAATTTAATAGAATTAACAAATCTTTTTTTTCTACATGAAAATATCTTGTAAAATTCCTTTGAATATCTTATATTTATTATTTCAAATGGGGTATTTCTCTCTGCCTTTTTCTTTCTCTCTTGGATTTTGTTGGTTGCTAAAGGTAGAGACCACCACTTTATGCTATTTAAACTTGGAGTTGCAGCTTTTACTTCCTGGTGAGTAAGCAAGGATCTCATAGAACTATCCTAGCTTCCCCAATTGTCTGCCATCATGAGAAAGATGTCGTGAAATGTACCCTGATGAAGGTGTCAGGAAAAATTAGGTCATCTCAAAAGAGCAAATGCTTCATAGTATCTTCTGAAAGAGCTACCAATACCAAAACAGGTATTGGATCATTTAAATTGTTTAATGTATTTTTAGATGCCTCATTTCAAATATTTTCAGTTTTCACAATCTTCATAGTTTTGGTGGTCTACATTATGCATACAGAAGCTCCTTTAAGAAAATTATTGTTGTAAAAATATATTTATAGTATTAGGAGGCATTGGCTGGTAGTTTTTAAGCAAGTAAGATTCCCAAAATCCTTGAAAAATTATAAGGAATCAGGCAAAACAACAGGTGAATGATATTTTAATTACAGAAATTTGACACAGAAATGTAGTACCAACTAATTCAGACTGATGATCCTAGTATAACAAAGGAAGAGAAAATGATATTTTATGTATTTCAAGTAATGGTATGAACCAAATAATGGTATTCTTTATAAATTTGCTATTAAGGATTAGTGACATATTAGCCCCTGTACTTAAAACAGTGTTCCCTTTCTGTCTATGACTCTGGACCTTCTCATCAGCTTAGAAAAGGTCATACTTGAAAGGTTTCTGTAACCTAATATTTAGTGTAATGGAAATTTTAGCTACTGAAATGTAAATTAGCTCAATTGAGAAAGGAAGAACCTGAATTCTGTGGGCTTTCTATATGGTATTCTTATTTTACATTTGAAATTAGCTATGTCCTCTTATTTTTGAATGCCAGAGCAACAGTATTTGAACATTTAAAATTTTAAATATATTTTGGATGCTTTGATTTCAACCAGTGATATTTATATCTCTATATATGTATATATATATATATATATATATGTATATATATATATATATATATATATATATATATACAAATATATGCATATATATAATTTATTAGTTCTTTTATTTTATTCACTCCTGTACCTGGAATTACAGTAAACATATTATAGTTAATTTTTTGAGTCTCAAAGGTTTGAGAAAAGTTCATTCACTTATTTCATTGATAAGAAATGAGTTGTAGCAAAATGTAAGCGATGGCAATTAACTGTCTCACTGTTGCTTGTGCCTGGATAACTTGGCTCTTGAATCCTGAAATGGGTCATTGAGAGGCTAGGTTTCTGTAACATGGTAAGAAATTTTTACTAAAAATATAGATTATCATTTGCTTTATTGTGATCATTTCTTAAAGTTAGTTTTTTTTTTCTTTCTTTCTGTGGCATATGCATAAGATTAACTCCTTTCTGTATTTTCCCAATGGCTACTAAATTGGGATTATGTATTGTATTCAAGCAGTCTGCTTAATAAATGTCTTCCTTGGTTGGTTTTTTTTTTTTTTTTTTTGTAAATTATTTGACTTTTGACACTCTAAGCAGTGAGAAATTAGAAATAAAGAGAATTCAGTTGATTTCAAAAAAGTATTTCTTTTTAATTAAGAACACAAAGAAAACCAGGAATATAACCCATTCTGTAAGATGTATACAATTTCATATTGGTTGTTAAATTTTGGTCTTGTTATTCCATTTGATGCAAAATTCTTTTTGAAAACACTGAAATAATACAGATTTTTCTTCATTGTCAGCAGGATGAGATTGTCTGAAACGAAGAATAGGTATGGTAGTTTTCTTAGATTATGTACATCATATGAGGCAAGACACTATGAAATCATATGCCGAGTGTAAAATATCCTTGGAAGTACTTGAAACACTAAGTGCACTGAGAGAACTGTACAAAAACTAGTAATATTCAATTCTTGAAGTGGTTTATTCTTTTTGTATTTCAATATTCTGTTACTTAACATACAAAGATTGTATTTGCTGTAGGTTGTGTTAGTATGTTGTAAATGTTAGAAAGTTCACTTACAGTATACTTTAACTTGGAAAAATACAGAAATGAAGGATAATTTTTATGGCAATAACTAGAGCTTAGACAGAAGTCTAAGCTGGATAAATGGTTAATTCTATTAGTTCAAAGTTGAATTTTTGATTGCTAGTTTTTTTTGCACATATGATTACACCTATATATTCATTCATATCTTAACATTCATGCATTTAACATTTTTATTATCAGAATGTTATGAATGAATAGCTGTTGTCTTGCAAATTTTATGAATATTCCATGTTCCTCTATAATATTTACTTAAGATTTAGATCACCTTTATTATAAACATTAATTTCAGACTCTTCCTGAGCAAAGTATAGAATTAAGTGTTAAAGTAGCAATGTCCCTTTGTCCGCTTTGTCCCTTTGTCTGTGAAATAAATGCTTTGAATATTTAGATCCACTGTGAATCTGCTTACCCTACAGATGTGATGAATGCAGACTGTGCTACCATTTTGGCTGTTTAGATCCTCCTTTGAAAAAATCTCCTAAGCAAACGGGCTATGGATGGATTTGTCAGGAATGTGATTCTTCGTCTTCTAAGGTAAGGGTGAAACTCATGAAGAAAGAAGACTGAGTCCTTTCTCTTGACGACTTTTCTGTATCACAGCATCCACTTTCTAATTTTAAAACTGAAGAAGAAAACTATATTAAATGGCATAAATTTCCTCTACAGAGGATTTAGCCATTTTTGTAGGTTCCCTGTATTACTGTATCGTATTAAATAATGTTATATTAGAATAATGTCTCTCTGCTAATTTACTACTTTGAGGCTGTAGCAGTGAAAAAATATTTCTAGGCAAAGGGTTTAACAATAGAATTCTATTTTATTTTGGAGATTATTCATCTTAAGATAAAATAAATATATTAGGCATGTTTTATAGAGTGTCATTAAAAATCTAACTTTAATAATTTATACTTATTTTAGCTAAGCATAAAGGATAAAAATGAAATAAGTTTAGTAGCTTATCTTCTAAAACTCTGAATTTCTTCAAAATATTAATATTTTCCCTTTAAATTGTGCCAGTTTTTATAGTTTTTTTTTTTAATTCATTACTTTACAGTGAGTGATAGAATAGCTAGATTCTTGGTCCTTGTACTCATTTTACAGAAGTACTGAATATATGTGAGTGAAGACATTCTGATCAGTTGTGTGTTACCAGTATTATTATTTCATACAAAGATAGTGAAAGTAAATGCTTATTATAGTATGACAGCCATTCTCTTTTAATAAATTGAATCAATACAGAATAACTGTCATGTTGTCGAACCAAAAATTCTTGAGTAGTCATGATTTATTCCAGCTTGACAAAGAACCCTTCTGAGATTTTTTTCTTAAGCTTCAAGTTTTTTGGTCATTTACAAGATGGTTTCTATCGCTAGTAACGCTGTTTGCCTAGAAAAGCTGTGTACTTTCTTCCTCCCTATGGTCCGTGTTTCCTGCGCATTCCTTCTTCCATTTCCTTATTCAAACCAAATGCCAGCATCATTCAGAAGCCTCCTCATCCTTATTTGACATCGTGAAGCATTGCTGAGTCTTGTAAGTGCTGCCTTCCTTCCTGGTGCCTTAATTTAGTGCCTTCTGTGTCTCATTCCATTACAATCCCTCTTCCCTAGAAACTACCTGAAGAGCTCTCCCAAACTTATTTCTCTTTTATTGTTCTTTTCATAGGGACCTCCAAATGAAGTGTGAAACAAAGTGACATTTAACTTAATTCTATATAACATTCTATTTTAATTTCCATGTCTGAATGTTTTATAATGTGCATAAAAAGTTTAAAATATTTCTAGACTCTATAAAATTACAACATTTATAAAAACACAATTAACTTTTATAATACCAGTTTCATCATAACTGACTTTGTTTCGTTAGGCTTGCTTACATTGCTAGTGAGGGTTTGTATATGTGTGTGGTGTTGTATTTGTTTTATAGAATTTTAGCACTAAAGAATAGGTACATAAAATTAAATGAAAAATATACTTAATGTTTTTACCACTGGTGAATAATTTAGTATATTCATTTCATTCATATACTTAAATAGTAAATGTCCTGTAGCAAAGTAGTCTAACTGAAGATATAATCACACCTCTGTTTTAAATCTTGCAGTGTTTTCACATTGTCCTACATTTGCAAAATAGCCAACAAAAATCAGAAAGCTTATATTGATGCATTCCCATCTAATCCTCAGTTTCACTCAGATTTTCTGTCTCAGTATTACAGAACTAAAGTATGCCCTTGGTTACAACATGGTCCTGTTAGAATCATATATTGAATTTCGTTGTCATATTTTTTTGTTGCTAGTTATGGATAGTTCCTTAGTTTTTCCTTAACTTGCATACTTACACATTTTTGTTACACATAGGACATTTGTATAATAGAATGCAGTTTTCTAATGTTTTCTTTGTGATGTTCCTCTTCACAGAGAGTATCACAGATACAGGGGCTGGGGAGATGGCTCAGTAGGTAAAGCGCATGCTATGCAGGTAAACACAAGGACCAGAGTCAACATAAAAGCCTGGTGTGGCATCCTGTACCTGTAACCCTAGCACTGGTAGGGGCAGAGAATGGCAGATTCTGGGAACTTGCTGGCCTGCCATTCTAACCAAATAGTGAGTTCTGGATTTAACTAGAAAGTCTGAGTGATAGGGAAAGAGAGATGACATCTACTCTTGGGTTCAACATGTGCACATATTGTTAAGTATACCTACTTAGATGTCCGATGTAAACTAGACTTAATATTGTGTTCTTAAAACTATTGCTCAGCCCTTCCCAGGTCTTCTTGATAGAGATCTCAACAACTGTGTCAACTTACACACTCATAATGAAGACAATGTATCTGCCATGGTGTGATGAACATAATATTTCTTTTAAAGTGGCCATTCCAGGTCATATTATTCACAGGTCCAATGCCAGATTGAGGTACAAATACAGTGATTGTGTCTGTTACTTTTCTGTCTTTCCATCCTTGTTTGAATTCTTTTTTTAGAAAAGCCATAGAGTTTACCTGCATGACAGGTCACTGTCTGCTTACCACATGGGGAATTATCTAAGCATGAGACTTTCCTTTGATTTCACTCTTAGTTTGTCTTTCAAATGTGCTACACTTAGCCACAGTTTAAGTGTATATAACAGTAATAAATTCTGAAATTTTAATCTGTTCTTAATTTCTTACATTAGAGTTTCTAGAACCACACATGTATTTCATACCTGATACAATTGCTGTTTTTTGATGATCAATTGTAATAGAAATGTCAGAGTAGAAGTACAGTTTTTAAAATATTTTTATACTTTTTTTTTTGCAATGAGCAATTAAAATTCTGTTAGTGATACACCTAAACAAATACCAGTGTGTGCATTTTCAAGTAAAATAGTTTTGACATCTGTGCCTCTTTGGGAACTTAATAGAGTAGTCTCCCTAAGGAGTATCTTGGCACAATACATTAAGCAAGCACATTTAATTGAACTCAGTAATATGGGAGATTGAATGTCTGAATTTTACGTGTTGTGAGGATTTATGAAAATTATAAAATTAAAATGATGTATCCTTAAAAGTTCTTTTAAATTTGAAGCTTATAACTGACCCATAAAAAGGACTTTTTAATACTTTAACTATTCATATGTCCTCTGGGATTTTATATGAGTACAGGTTGTATTTTAAGTTTCTGAATGTAGATGGCTGAAAGAGAAATAATTTTCATGTAAAGTACCACTTCACCGCCCTGACATGGTTGTTCTGGCATTTCTACACAGTGATTAGACCTTACGAATGCTCTTCTCGAATCTTTGGTGAGTTTTGACTTACCTTTTATCATTCAAGATGTGTAAAAATTTCTTTTAAAAAAGGAAAGAAAAAGATATGTTTTTAACATACCATGTTTGTCTTTCTGGGTTACCTCACTTAGGGTGGTTTTTTCTAGTTCCATCCATTTGCCTGCGAATTTCAAGATTCTGGTGTGTGTGTGTGTGTGTGTGTGTGTGTGTGTGTGTGTGTGTGTGTGTGTGTGTGTGTGTGTTTGTGTGTGTTTCCCACTGAGCAGTATTCCATTGTGTATATGTACAACATTTTCTGTATCCATTCTTCGGTTGAGACCATCTAGGTTGCTTCCAGGTTCTGGCTATTACAAATAATGCTGCTATGAACACGGTTGAACAGATGTCCTTGTTGTATGAATGTGCATCTTTTGGATATATGCCTAAGAGTGGAATTGCTGCATCTTTAGGTAGAGTGATTCCCATTTGCCTGAGGAACCACCATACTGATTTCCAAAGTAGCTGTACAAGTTTACACTCCCAACAGCAGTGGAGAAGTGTTCTCCTTTTTCCACATCCTCTCCAGCATAAACTGTCATTGGTGTTTTTGATTTTAGCCATTCTGACAGGTGTAAGATGATATCTTTGATTTGCATTTCCCTGATGGCTAAGGATGTTGAGCACTTTCTTAAGTGTCTTTCAGCCAGTTTAGATTCCTCTATTGAGAATTCTCTGTTTAGTTCTGTACTCTACTTTTTAGTTGAATTATTTGGTGTTTTGGTGACAAGCTTCTTGAGTTCTGTGTATACTTTGGAAATGAGCCCTCTGTCAGATGTGGGGTTGGTGAAGATCTTTTCCCATTCTGTGGGCTGCTGTTTAGTCTTGTTGACTGTGTCCTTTGCCTTACAGAAGCTTACCTACTAAAATTACATGTTATCCTATCACATCTCTTTCTAAATGTATTTATATTACTTCTGAAAGGCTGACATTTATCACATCAGTAATTTATATTTTATGTTAAATATAGAATGGTAGTCCTCTGAGTTCCTTAGTAGCTCATGCTTTAAGCAATGGTTTTGTCACATCTTAATAGGAATAGTAGGGAAAGATCTAAGTGATGTGAACATAAGACGAAACTCAGAAATCATATTGTTTTAAATTGTAAGCATGCTGCAGTAACAGGTAATCTATGTAGAAAGCCTGAGACCCCATCTTTTGTCAGCAAAAACTCCATATCTGATATTTCCATTTGATCCCATTCACATCTGTGTCCCAGTACAGTGACATTTTTTTTGATTTCACATATCCATAAATTGTAGGTTAAATATGTTGTTCCTCTATTTCCTTGGAACTTTTTTGTATGTTAAACCTAATCTCTGATCACTGAAGATGCAGCCTCAGTATTTTCTCTGAAGATTTCTTAAAGGTTTATGTTAGTGTTACACCCTTATCAAAGTTATGCTTTTAGTAAATGTACCATAAACAATAGCTACACATGATTACTGCTTCGTGGGCTTGAGAACTCTTCACAGTATTCTTAAAGAACTGGTTGTCTTCCTTTCTTTAAGATTCACTTTGAAAACTTCAAGCTGGATCAAGGCGCTTTTGTCAGCAGAATGTTCTTTTCTCACTTCCTTCTTTATTTTTTTCCTGTTTGTTTTTTTTTTGTGTGTGTGTGTGTGTGTGTGTGTGTGTGTGTGTGTGTGTGTGTGTGTGTGTGTGTGTGTGTGTGTGTGTGTATTGTTGCCTTTGAGAAAGGATCTCATACAGCTCTAGCTGACCTTGAACTCCTATTTCGTTGAGGATGATCTTGAGTACCTGCTCTCCTTCTTTCTCTGCTACCTGCAGGAAGCTGAGTTTATAGGCATTCACCTGGCATATGTAGCCACTTGTGAGCTGTTTCTGAGTTCTTGAATGGTTTACTGTTCTCTCAGCTTTTAAAATCAAATAGTATTTTTATTATTACACTTTTAAAATCAGAATCATAAATTCAGGTTATTAGCTGTATTTATAAATCTGTTCTCAGGATGTATAGGTAGCATGTAGAAAGTTGTGTGCTTAAGGTATTAAACTTTATTTTGTTAATATAGTTAGGCAGATGCCAGAGCCCACAAAAACAAATGGCTCCTTAACAAGTGAGTTTAAAGTTCTCTGTAGTATCTCCCCTGCCACTCCTTTAAATGTAACCAACTTTGTTCCACTCCAAGACAGTTTAAGGTAATGAACAAAATAGTTTTCATAGGAAGCAAGAGTGCTGTGTAGTCTATAAAACCTTTTGCAGGCCAGGCATAGTGGTGCACACGTTTAATCCGAGCACTAGGGACAAAGAGGCAGGCTACAAGTTTGAGGCTGGCCTAGTCCCTAGAGTTCCAGTCCAATGTCTGCATAGTGAGACCCTTTCTATATTTCGGTCTTCTTTTCTAGCCCAGGGAAAATCCACTTCATTTTTTTCTATATTTAAATTTCTGTTCTCATTGAGATATGCTGTACACTTCTCCAGTCATTTTTTAAAAGTCACGTTTCATACTCCAGATCAGAAAATCCCGGAAAGGAAGCGAGAGCCTTCTGTCTCCTTCTTTCTTCCCTTCTTCCTCCCCTCCCATCCTTCAACTTCATTCTCTTCCCCAGTGTCCCCCTTTTCTTCTCTTTTCTCCCCCTTAGTATTCATGTTACCCAATACCTCTTTGGGAGTGATTGTTTTAAATTAAATTTCCAGCATATTTATTCTTTTATGTTGTTAGAATACTTGGAGCCAGTTATTTTATAAAGAGACATTTTCTTGGCCATCAGTTTAATCAGTTCAGGGTCTTCAGGTAAAAACCTGGCACAGGGGAATCTCCCAGGAATGTACAGGGATGACCCCAGCTAAGACTCCTGAACTGGCCATCTCCTGTGACCAGATTGCTGCCTAGCCCAATTGTCATCAGAGATGCTTCATCCACCAGCTGATGGAAATAGATGCAGAGACCCTCAGCCAAACATTAGGTGGAGTTTGGGGGAATCCTGCAGAAGAGGGGGAGGAAAGATTGTAGGAGCCAGAGGGACCAAGGACACCATAAATAAAACCTCAAGAATCCACTAACCTGGGTCATAGGAGCTCACAGAGACTGAATGGACAGCCAGGGAGCATGGGACTGACCTAGGCCCTCCGCATATATGTGACAGTTGTGTAGCTTGGTCCTCTTGTGGTACTCCTAACAGTGGGAACAGGGCCTGTCTCTGACTCTTTTCCTGGCTTTTGAGACCCTACCCTTCATACTGGATCACCTTGTCCAGCCTTAGTACAGAGTGAGGGGTTTAGTCTTTCTGCATTTTCATATGCCATGTTTTATTGACACTCAGGGGAGACCTGCCCTTTCCTAAACAGAAACAGAGGAGGAGTGGATTGGGGGTGTGTGGGGAGACAGAGGGATGGGGGGACAGAAGGGAATGGGAGGAGAAGAGAGGTCAGTGTAAAATGAATGAATTGATTTGAAAATAAGAGGTCAGTGTCATAACAATGGCATTGTTTCAGCTGTGGTGGAGGAATCTCATGGTAGATGAAGGAATTTACTAGAGAGAAATCAGTAAAGATAAAGTCTCTAGAGCCACCCAGACTTGCTCTCTTGTACCAATCTCCTCATGAGAAACTAGTAAGGACCAGAATGGCATCACCTACCTCTAGGAACCAGGTAGTTAATGACCTGAAGACCTTACACCTTAATTGTTCTAACATACTAACACTGCCAAGCATCTAGCATGGGAACCCTCAAATGAAAAAAAAAAGAAAACATGTCCAAACCATAGTATCTAGCTTATATCCTAGTTTATAACCTTCAGGTCTAGACTGGACTTCTTGTATGCTTCTTCTGTAAGGCTGTTGGTTTTTGGCATTCAGCAAGGGTTTTTTTGCCGTCATCATTGGTGTACAGGTTATCTTTACAAGCAAGACTGAAAACTCTCATGGCAGGGTTTTTCTCTGTTCCCAGGTGTTAAACACGCCTTTTATAATGTTTTAACTGTCTGCTTCTCCACAGTCCTGCTTCCCGAGTAGCTGTTCTTTAAATTACTTTGAAAGCTTCATTTTGCCAAAAGGGAATATCTGAGTCATACGGCTCCTGGATCGTGCTTCAGAGGCGTGGGGCTATTTATTGATGCACAAAAGATGTCTGGAGCATAAATCTGTGCCAGCCATGACCTAAATATGCAGAAAAGAAGAGAATAGCTATTCAGCAAATTTAAAAATGATTTAATTTTAGAGCCATTTCTGTTTCTTCCTAGTTCACTCAGCATTTCTGTTACTATATAACTTGATTATAGCAAATACTTTTAAAATAGAAATTTAGTTTAAATTTTTTACTCCTGAAGTGAAGAATACCAGGTTTGGCTAAAGGAGCATAATTAATCTTTGAGAAAAAAAAACATGTTTTCTACACAAAATTGTACAAAAAGCTGTAGCCCATTTATGTGTTCAGGTATTTTCTTGTCTTTGTAGACATGCTACATGTTTACCCTGTGTCACGTAATTTATCCGATAAAATCTACACATTATTCATAAACTCTGCAGAACCTTCTGTTTCATTTTGAAATATAATGAAATAATTATATATAACTCGACCCTAAAAGTTTATGCTATAGTATTTCTGTGAAATGCTGTCTAGCTGTCATAGTTTCCTTCAAATGGCTTATTAGACACAATTTGTTTTTAATTCTTGCAGCTGTGGTCCAGTCCCTCAGTCCCTGCTGTACTTTATTTGAACCTTCTAATTGTGTGCAACACTTTAAATCTACTGTCCTAATTGTACACACATGGGATTTTTTGATAAGTGCCTAGGAAGTTCCTGTCATGAGTAAGAATTTAAAATCTTCACTGTAGTTGGGCTAAATCCATGAAGAAGAAAATTTCTTGCACAATTTTTCTAAATTTAAGATGAACAGTCCACCAATGGACTAGCTAATGTCTAATTTGTTTAGACACTGTTTCACCTCTTGTCATTTTCTGTGCATGCAGACGCTTGTGTACGAAGATATGTGTGTTAATACATATGCACATGTCTAAAAGCCAGAGGACCGCCTCAGATGTCCAGTCCTTGAGAGCCCCACCCTTCTTTTTTCGAACAGTCTCTCATTTGTCTTAGAGCTTGGCAAACAAGCTAGACTGCCTCCCCCAGCTAGTTCAGTTACACGTTTCCACTCCCCCAAGCAGGGATTGTAAATTCTGCAGGCTTTTAAAATGATATTTGTTTGATGTGTGTAATTAAAAAGCATGTTTTTTTCTTTTTAGAATAAAAAAGGAGGCAAAGAAACTACTAAATATATTTTAATGGCACAAATACAGTGAAATAATTAGAAGAATATTAATCTGATCCAAATGCTTTAGTCCGGCAGTGGTGGCACATGCCTTTAATCCCAGCACTTGGGAGGCAGTGGCAGGTGGATCTCTGTGAGTTTGAGGCCAGCCTGGTCTACAAAGTGAGTTTTAGGACAGCCAGGATTGTTACACAGAGAAACCTGTCTCGAAAAACCAAAATAAATAATAGATTTTTTTTATTGGTATGAAAAATTACCAATTAGCTTAGAGATTCATGGTAACCACCAACTTACACAGATTATTAAAGGCAGAATGATGACCCACCCTGTCAGCAGTGGCTAGTGATGCTCTGGCTGCCAACATTTACTAGTTGAGTCTATCAAAATCTTCAGAGATAATGATTTTGTTACTTGGTAAATCCAGTGATTAGTACCTAGTTCAGTGCTAAAATGTAGACATGTGGAACCATTTTGTGAAACTCATACTATAGAAGGAAACATGCCAATGTCATGTGGAGTGGCACAAAGCTACATAAATACTGACAAAGACAGAAACATTTCTTACTCTCCAAGTTCTATGAGAGTAGCCACAGAAAACTGTGATTGTCACTGGGGAACTCACCTCTAAATTCATTTGGTGACCACTCTGGTCTCTCATCTTGGTCTTACTCTGTATTCCTTGTTTTGGTTTTGTCATTGTTTGGGTTTTTGAAATAGGATCTCATATTTCCCAAGCTAGCCTCAAACTGGTTATGTAGCCAAAGAGATTTTGAATTACTGATCAATTCTGGCTGTGCCTCCCAAGTGTTGAGATTGCAGATATATAACACTATGCCAGCTTAGTGAGCAGTTAATCTCTTGGATATACTTGATGCCCCTATGCTAGTCAGTATGTGTGTTCAGTGGTAAGGTGGTCTCAGAACCAGATTGTTGAGAAAAGTGGGTAAGAAAGCAAGTGAGATCATCTCTCTGCCTCAGTCTCCTCCTGTTAAAATGGAGACAGAAATGGATGTCTACTTAGTCAAGCATTGGGAGGCTCTTTTGCTTGTTTAGACTCTAGGGAGAGTGAGGCTAGGCTGATAAGTATCTAGATAATCTGCATTTGTCTGTAAGAAAAACAAATGAAGTGTTTTTTATTGAGATTAAAATTGAAATGTGTACTAATAAATTGTTGAATACTCCTGAAGCACTGAGAATGGCAATTCCTGTGTTTTTACCTTTTTTTTTTTAAATTTGAAGGCCATTTAAATTTATCTAAATACTACATTGGCTTAACTGTTATTATTGGAAATGCTCTTTGTCTTTTTTTTTTCCATTGTAAGTCAAACTTTGTTAAGGAATAACAATTTTCTCTGTTGGCAATGTTAAATGTAACCTTAGCTTTCAATTCATTGCTGCAGTTATGTTTCCAGAGCCTGCTGGAGGAGATAAACCCATTGCAAATGAAGACAGCATTCATTTTCCTTCTACCTCAGGCCACACAGAATTGATTGGGGTAATAAAATGACAGCACCTTGTAATATACTGAAGGCTCTTTAATTCGAAAACCAGCTCCAGCCTGATTCCAAGCTTGTTTAAAGCTAATTTATAGCTTACATAATTTTCAGCTGGCTGACCAAGGTAAAGGATGATGTATGAAAATTGATAAAGAATTAACTTATGATACATTCAGATGTGTGTTGTTAAAGTCAGATGGTTTTAAAAACAGAAGGCAGGGACAGGGAGACAATTAGTAAGCAGGTTTTTTTTTCATGTAGGTAACACCATTAACATTAATTTCTCATCATGTTATGTCAAAGCTGGCTTCCTGTCTTTTTTTGTGTGAAATCAGTTCTATTTTGCATTTTTCTGTATTTTAAAACCCTTCTGTTTTTCATAATATTAAGGTCAATTTGATAAGGTTGACTACCGTCAGCAGCTGTTGACTTCCACAGTGCTGAGGTTATGGTAGGTAGCGGAAAGGCTGCTAGGTAACTCACTAGGCCAGTGTTTTCATGACGAGTGCCTTTCTCAGAGGCAGGCTGCAAGATTTTCAAGCTCTTCATATTTATATCAACTGAAAAATAGGTTTTAGCCTTTTTGACCCTGTAGGCTATTTCATCTCTTTGTTCTACTATATTTAATCATTGTTACTGACAATATATCGCCCCTAGTAAAGTGCTCTGTACTATGAATGAGGCCAGGTTTCAGAATTGTTGTCAGCATTCAGAACTGGAGGGTAGATGCTGTAAGCAATTTACATGGTTCTGTTTTACCTTCTTCAAAAGACAGTGGAGGATCGGTATGGTTAGGGGGCCGTTGCTTGGTTGTTTTGTTTTTTGCCATTTTGCCATCTCCTATTATTGTAACATCATAAAAAGTGTAAACTGGATATAGTGACTCACACCTATAAGTTAAAACTCAAGAGACTGAAGCAGGAGGATTTCTGTGAGTTCCACTTCCGGCAGGGGCTACAGATTGAGATTGTCTCCAGAAAATGAACAAAGCAACACCAGAGCTTTTTAGTGGTGCAATTGTCATTTTTAGCTGTGTGTGTTATAGATCATACACTACAAATGTGTTGGATGTGGACACTAAAGAAAAAAAGTACATAAACTAGTGCATTTAAAAGTAAGATTAGCTATAGGGATGGAGAAGTTTTTTCGTTTCTGCATTGAAAGTTGTCTAACCCTGCCTTAAATTATATTTAGTCATTCTTAACCTTGTACTCAGCGTTACAAGAAAATAGTTACGATATATGTATGTATGTATGTATGTATATGAAGTTCAGTTCTACATACAGTGTGCAAATGGATCAAAACCACATCTGTAGTCCTAAAATTTCAGCGGAAAATATTTAAGAAACGTTTGAGGTGATGACGGAAACAAACAATTAAACACTGGCATAAATAACCTTGATCTTTTCCTTAGTATGGCCTTATTAATAGTTCCTTAATATTAGGTGTTGTGCTGTTTTTTTCAAAGCCGGTTTTGTGTTCTGTACAGAGTGGGCATAGGAATAACTGACAAGTAAATAATAGATTCATTTGTTACTGCTGTTTGCTGCTTTTTTCCCCCATTGGGATTCTAACCCATACATGCTAGGAGAGATAATTCCCACTGATGATGATTCAGTTTGCATTTTTTGACAGTATAGCAGTGTGAAAGAATTATATATTTAATATAAACCTTACTTAGAACTGTGAAATTTGACCTCTTCCTGGAGTGACAATCTATAAAACACTGTCCTGATGCTGGGCAAAGGCAGCAAGCAGCTGGCCACTCCCACTCAGCCACATCAACATGAATAGCCTTTTAGTGTTCAGTAAGTAGATTTGGTGTATTGGTGCATTTTGACTGTTTATTAAGCTCTTAGAAAGCCAGGAAACAACTTGAATCCACAAATACGGAATAAGGTTTCAGATCACTTTGTAGTTACTGAAAACTCAACATTGTATCAACCTTTTGACACATCCACCAGTGGAGGCCAAACTTTGGCGGGATTCTCTTTATAACATTGTTTTTCTTTCACGTATTTTTGAAGTATAGTCAGTCTATGACTGACCCTATCCACAGACAAACTCACCACCTTTATTCCAGCCAGACTTGAGTTGTAAAGTTTCAAAAACTGAGTCAGGCAGATCCTTTCCTTTTAAGAAACTTTATCTTATCAGAAACAGATTCAATTAAAACAAACAAACAAAAAAAATGAAAGGGCTTAACACTAATTTTTTCAGTCAAACTCTTATGATGTTGTAGAGATATAGAGGTAAACCAATTATATAATGATCAAAGCTAATAAATGCTTAACAGAATGAAATATAACAGTAATATTTCATGCCATAGATCATATATGCATTACTATAGTAAATATTTCATTGCTAAAACATTTCACTTGTAGTTTCAGCATAGTATATTAGAAAAAAAATATTTGAGTGCTGTTGAGTCTTAGTAGCAACAGCTTTCCTTTTGTTTGTTGAGATGAGGTCCAGGTCAATCCATGCTGACCTTTAGCTCACCCTGAAGCCTAAACTGCCCCTGCACTTGCCATGTGCAGGCTGGTCTTTTTGTGATCCTTCTTGAGTCCTGGCATTGCAGATGTGACTCCTCCCTCAGCCCCACCCTGGGCTGAAAGGAGCAAGTGTTTAGTGTTTTTTTTCTTTGGCAGTTTGCAGGCTTCACTTCTGAATTTTACATTTAGCCTCTGTTTCATTTGTCTCATTGCCACTAAAATTTAAACTAATACCACTTCTGAGATTCTTTTTTTCAGCTTCACTTCTTATCAAATGAAGTTTGAAACCAGTGACTTAAGTGAACTTGGAACCAAATCATCCCATCCAGGCACAAATAAATGATTGTTATTTTCCCTTTGTAATTTTAATCTAAGAAAGGTATTTCTAAAATAACATTTCATTTTTCCTTCAGTCTGAATTTTTTGAAGTTTTCAACAAGTGAAGCCTCTAGAGATATTCTTTGTTTTCTTCAGGGAAAAGAGAATATACAAGGTAGAGTTGCTGATAAATACATGAGGAAAAAAATGTACAAAACTTTCAGAAATGTTCTTCCACTTTCACAGACAAGTTGAATTGTATTTAAATGAATGGTGAATCATTTTCAACACTAACCCTAAAGTACTGTAATTTAAAATGTTAAAAGTTAAATAGAGAATGTGCCAAGAATTTTGTCTTTGCCTTTGAATAAGTGAAAAATAAGTGTGAAAAGATAGGAAGTATGGTGGGTAACTTGACTTTATAGGAGACATAACTTAAAGCACATGATTGCAGAATATGGGAGACTTGGTAAGTTTTTCCATAGAATATGACTTAGCTCCATGCTCCTAGTAAGATACTAATGTATCAGTGTGAGCAGGAAGTCTCAAAACCCTGCTTTGTATCCATTGATGCATGGTATAGACACACTGGGTTTCCTCTTCCTTTCTCTGTTCATTTCAGCCACTTTGCTGCGGGTCACCTTTAAATAAGTACTCACAATTTGTTAGATCAATATATTTGTCAAGACCAGGATATGCTGACTATTTGTACAGCTGAATCATAGGTCTATATGTTTTTAATACGTTTCTGGGTATGTTAATATAGACACAGAATGAAGTAGTCATGATCTAGGAAAAACTAAAATTTCTTTTGGTGCACATTTTGTGTAGATTTTTCACTTTATTGCTTGGGATATGTCAAAAGAGTAAATCATTTTTATTAGTTGGATACAAAATAAGATATTAAATTTACCTTGCACTGTGTTATATTACTTGCAGCTCATCAAAACCTGATTGGATATATGGTCTCTGCAAAAAGTTTAATCACATAAACAGATTTTATAATTTGAAATTAGTTTTATGTTGCACCAGTGCAATGGTGCAAATCTCTACCTCATTGTTAGTATTTTCATGTTTCAAAATTTAAACCTAGTTTGAACTTGTTTGCTTTTAGCCCTTATAATTTTTAAATATTTAGCTTCTATGACTTCATTATTTGATACATTTTTTAAAATTTCTACTACTTTCTCTTCCTTGCTGTGTTGCCTGCCAAAATTGAAAACTGCTGCTTCATTAAGAAGAACAAAACTCCATAGTCACATTGTATTTTCCTCAAGTTGGCCAATTGTGAGGTTTACTTACCTACTAAATTCTAGTGGGCTATAGTTTGAATGTTTAAATAGCAGAAATGGCTATGATAAAGTAGATGATTAAACAAATAGGTCTGTCTCCTGGCTATTAATTTTCAGTTTGGGAGCTTGATGTGTTACTACATTATTACTGAATTTTCTCAATATATGCTCTAGGTGTTACATTTCTTATTAATGAAACTTGGAGAGCACAAATACATAATACCCCAAATACATAAAGCTGCAAATTTTTTGTTTACTTGGCATCTTTAGGCATCTTGGATTTTCAAGCCAGTGGCAATACTTGATGACCTTTTTTGTTCTTACAGTGGTATGCATAGCCATTATTCAGTGTGTCATAATGGATCATTTTTATCTGCATCTTGCATCTGCTCGGTTTATATAGAATAAATATTTATGCTTTTTCAGTTTTCATGGCTAGAAGATTCAGATAGAATAGGTTTGAAGTATCGGCTATAATTCATTGCTTGAAGAAAGAGCTTATACTGATACTATGTGGAAAAGAACACCATCTAAATCATTTCACCCGCAAGCTTATAACCAAGATAGCATCACCATTTCCTTCTTGAGAAGGTATCTTTAAAGTAAGAAAGCATTGAAATAGTTATGTTAATAGTTCATGCTTTTCTACTTAAGTTCTCAGAACAGATCATTATCTGATTTAACACAGTGATACCATTACCTAATGACCTAATGCCTATTTAGCTAATGTCAAGTACACTAGTTTGAAAACCTAGAATTTCTTTAATCGTTACTCAGAAAGTGTATCCCTATAACTTAACTACTGTTTAGATTTCTGTTGGACAACTAAATACTTGTACAGAATGTGAGCATAGCTGTATTATTACTTAATGCATACTTCTTAAACACTTAAGAATAGCATCTCAGTTGTGTTGGACATATTCCCCTTGTATTGAGAATTTAGGTTTGCTTTCCTTGGACTCCCCATCTATTCCCATCTGTCTCTAGATGATTTTAACTCTCAGAATATGTCTGTGTTG